CCCTGTTACACCATGTCTTCTCACCAAAATAAAGACCCGAGTCAGGAAAAGTCACCCTGGAGGCAAGATGCCACCTCACTTGATAGCTATTTTGAGGAAGGCACTCAAGTCTCCAGAGAATCCTGAGGCCACTTGTACAGTTGAACTATTTTTTCAAATCAACTTATGCTCAAATATGCTAGGTCCCGATTTCCATAAATACATGGTAAAATACATTTCAGAAGTTTTAAGAGCTCTTCGTAGAGGGATAACATTTTACAGTGTACATAATTCATAAAAACAAAAGTTCCCCAATATAAAGTCCCTTTTACCCTGCAACTTTAACCCACAGCACTACCCAAACACTGCTCTTTCTTCACTCTCTATTCAATGCCTCTTGTTTCCAAATGAGGTAGTTATCACTTCAGGACAGCTTAAGGCTGGGGAAACACTGGTGGAAAGAATAAGTTGGCCACCTGGAAGGGAGTCTCAGAGCTGACATTTTGGAAGTCAGCAATGGAGCCCAGGGCCTTTCAAAATTAATCTGCTAAATGGCTGGTCTGAAGGAGACATGATGGCTTTAAAAACAAAGAAATCACCTGCCTTCCCCATGATCACGGCAAGTCATTAAGTCTGATGCCATGAGCATTTGTCTTCCTGGCTAAAGTAATTACAGTTTGGTTTTTTTTTTTTCCAAGGTACGAGGGTGAAGATCACAAAGAAAGCACCAAGCCAAGATACTTGGGAATTTGCTCCCTCATAAATGACACTGCTGGCTTATGAGGGTACTTTCCGATGGCAAAAGGATTTGAAACTAATGCCATTGTAATAAAAGGCAGCATGCGTGGAAGGTCAGAAATGGAATTGCAAATAAGTGAAATAAGTTCATGGAAAAATGTGTCTGCTCCTGATGGTTTGGACTGAGCACCCAGAGGCATGACGAAAACCCAGAGATCCATTTCCTGGCAAGCAAATTGTGGCAGTTATATAGCTATCAAGGAACTTCATAGATAGTTTAGGACGTACAAAATAGCCAGATTTGGGGGCGTCCAGGTGGTGAGGAAAAGCTGAAAGCAGTAAGACAAAGGAAGGGAAGGAAAAAGGTAGTTTCTTGATTCCATAGCAACTCAAAGATGTGTGAGCCAATGACAGGGAAAATGAAGAACCTATAAAAAAGCATGTAAATCCCTTACACAAGATCATTTCTCCTAGCTGGCAGGAATAATGTCAATAATAAACCAAGGAGAGGAAGGCATAAGAAATGAAACGAACCTGAACTGTACAGACTTAGGTGAGAGAATGGACCCTTCCTGAAAGGGCAAAGTAGAGCAAGGAGGGACAGGAAGAGAATAACACAATTTGTTTTAAGGTTTGCCAAAGGGCATGAGCATTCAATGGAGACAGTGAAAAGGAAAGTGAGAAATCACCCCCCCAGGGGGCATGGCCACACTGTAATCCCTTCTCTCCATTCTCCTCCTGGATTTTGGACATGCACGCACGTGGACCCGGTGTGATTTTCAAGCCAGGACTTGAAACACAGTCAGCCACGTAGGAGTCCAGCACCTTAAACATTAAGACCATCTGCTGACCCTGCAAATATATTTTTAGATAGAATTCAAAGCTAATATAATAAAAAGCCCAAGAGACCTCATCTCCAGAAGAGCCTAGAGGCATGTTCCAAAAGCCAGTAGGACTTAGGACATATCTGAGAATGAATTCAAAGCTCAATACAACAGTGCCTAGGGCTTTAATGAATACTCTACATTAATAAATACGTACAGATCCATAGGGCTTGCCATTCTGGAACACTTGCTAGTTCTAGACTATGAGTTTGGGTTTTTTATGTTTTGTTTTAAAATTACTATAGGGCATGTGCACTCGCCAGAAAGAGACATACAGAGAGAGAAGGAATGTAAGAAAGCAGCCCCTGGGGAGATGACCACCTTGCAATCCCTTCTTATCCACTCTACTCTCAGAATTTTGGGCACCCAAGCACAAGCACCCAGCATGTTTTCCAAGCCATCAGGACCAGACTCAAACTGCACGATCAGCCATGTGGGATCAGCTGCCTTAAGTACGTCTCCAGCTGGCCTGAGTTTGTTGTTTTAAAAAATACATTCAATTACAAAACAGGACAAGACAGGGCCAGCCGGTAGTGCAATGGCTAAGCACTGCACAGAAGCCGGCTCCCACATGGTTGACCAGGGTTTGTTCCTGCCATGGTGGTTTATACCCAGAGCATGAGTGTGGGTACCTGGGATCCTGACAGGATAAAGCATTGGAGAAAAACGAATTGCAGCATGACCAGCCACTGTTTCAGCAGAAGGTTCTGGTGGTGGAGGTGAGGGGGGTCCCTCACCCCCAGTGGCCCCTTTATTCTCTTGTGCATGCACACGCACCCTCTTGCATAATGAAGAAGACAACAAATGAAAATCCATTTTCCTCTCAAAACAATTAAATCAAGAAGTATTCATTCTAAAGTCACTGAAATAAAAGCAGAAATGAAGGGGGCTCAGGCTTGTGGGCTTTTCTCTAGATGATGGGGCCCATAATTTGAAAGCACTACTGCAATTATAACAGTTCTCACTTCAGAGGGCCAGTCGCAGTGACAGAAACCATGGTTGAACCTTCTTTTAGAGGAGCTAGAAAAACGTGCTATCTGTGGCCACCCAGTTTGTCTTTGGAACATAAAAGTAGACTTGGATAGCTTAACCATCAGGAAGCCAATCACCGCAGCGTTTGCAGTTTGATCCACTCTCCCTCCTCAGGGATCCCACAGAGACCACGAAGACCATTTCCAGAGAGAGGCCTACTCAGGACTCTCATTTCAATGAGAATTTCTGTACCTCTCTCATCTGGTTTCAAGAGGTTGGAAGCAACTGCACAACACATGCAACAGGACCACCAAGGCACCAAGCCAGTCTACATAAAAATAACTGACCACCCTTTAAGTCAGGATGTTGTTCTGTGTGATAGCGGGGCACTGAGAATCTGAGTCCTCCTCCACAGAGGATGTTTCCTCGAAGAGTTCATCCTGGTCAATAATGCTCCCTAATCCATACTCCTGCTCATGGACGGAAACTTCATTTGGTGTGAGGTGGAAAGAGCCCTCCACAAAGTCAGCAAATCTGGAAAAGAAAGGTAATATTCATTAGGAATCTACCTCTGTCCTTTCTGGTCCCCCTTCCCAAACTAAGAACAAACTATAACTTACTTATTTCTTTTTTTAAGTTTCCTATTGGGTACATGTGGCTCACTGGAGACAGAAAGAGGGAAAATGAGAAAACAGCCCCGGGGGATAGTCACACCACAATCCCTCCTCCATTCTCTGCTCAGGATTTTGGGGGCACGCATGCACATGCACATGCGCACACACACACACACACACACACACACACACACACACATAAACACACACGCCATGTTTTTCAAACTGTCAGGGCTCAAACTGTGTAGCTGACCTTGTGGGATCCAGCAGACTTAACCATATGCCACTGGCTGGCCCCAAACGGAAACTTCTGATATGCTCACAGTTCAATCTAGCCAACATCCCTGACCTTGCTCTAGTAGGTAAGTAAACTAAAGCAAGAAATAAGAAGAAAGGAAAATTGGGATCATAGAGCAACATCCCCCACAACTCCATCCTGCTTAATAAGCACTGGCCTAACCTTTTTAATATGGAAGTGCTAAGGTTTCTTTAGTCATCTGTAATCCTGATAAGGGAAGATTAAGAGGCATTACACAGTTATTCGTGTTTATGGCTCTACGAACTTTACACTATCAGATTCTACATTAAAGCTTCATATACTCATTGGTACAGTTGCTGCCAACTAAAAAGGAAAAAAAAAAAAAACTCAGGAGAGTAATATGAAACTTTCAAAGGGGAAATTAATATGGTGCTAGAATCTTCCCATCTCAATGCTACGGTCAAAGCTAAATAGTTTGAGGAAACAGGAATCAAGCTACCACTTAACAAATGATGATACATGTACCTTTCCTTGACTATTACTAGGTTAACAGGAAAACAAAGGCCACAAATACAACATGATCATTAAAGTACGATCTCTGAGGGCAAGCAGGTAGTGGAGTGGTTAAGGGCGCTGGACTCCCACATGGTCAACTGTGGTTCAAGTCCCAGACCTGGAGGCTTGCTTTCTCACTTTCTTTCTCCCTCACTCTAACATGCTCTCTCTCGCTCTGTCCCTCTCTGGTCAAATTAAAATAAATAAACAGATAAATAAATGAATTTAAATAGTTCTTTTCTTAATAAAATAATTCTTTTATTTTTTCATAATTTTTATTTATTAATTTTTACTATTATTTATACATTTAATCACTATACATTGTTTAGATTGTAAAGAGACTTTACCCAGAGTGACACACACCTCAGTCAAGCAATAATGCTTTTTTAAAAATAATTATTTATTGGGGGGCCAGCAGTTACATAATGGCTATGTCGCTGGACTCCCACATAGTCAACCGTGGTTCAAGTCCCGGACCTGGTGGCTTAAACTCATGCCGGGCGCGTGTGCGTGCATGCCCAAGATCCC